GCTGCCACGCGATGTGCGGAGGCGGCACTGCGGCCGCGGGGCACTCCAGGGTGAGCTGCTCTCCTGCCCGGACTGTGATGTTGCGAGTCTCTCCGGCACCCGCGATGATGGGGGGTACTGTGGGACACGTGGGACAAGGGACATGCTGCTCGAGGTCCGGCATGGGCCCTTGGCTCCTGGCTTGCCCTGCATTCACCCCAGAATGTGCCATCTCACTAGTTCCAGGACCCACGACCTTCCCACCCCCTTGGGCTCAGTCCTCTCGCCCCCTGCCTCCGGGGTTGACGGTACCTTGGGCCTGGACATGGAAGGTGCCGCTGTCCTCACCGGCTGGGCTGGTGGCCAGGCAGGTGTACAAGCCAGCATCGGCCACCTGCCAGAGACCCAGAGATGGAAAATGGATGGAAATCCACCGACGATGAAAGGAGAAGGTGGGTTGGGAGCTGGGACAAGACCTCGGCACGCTCTATCCGCAGGGTGCTCTCATTCCCTGCCACGAGCTGAGGTCCAGCCAGCAGCCGCCCATCCTTCTCCCAGGTGACAGTGGGCACAGGGACACCCGTCACCAGGCACATCAGCTCCAGTGGGGCACCCGCAGTGATGAGCATCTCAACCATGTGTGCTGGGACCTCAACCTGGGGCGGCTCTGCAAGGCATGGGGTGCGCGGTGAGGGGCTCCCCCCCTGCTGGGTGCTCCCGAAAGCGAGCGGGAGGACACGTACCCATCACCACGAGGCGGAAGCGCTGGCTGGCTTCGCCCGCCTCATTCATGGCCAGGCAGGAGTAAACCCCAGCGTCCGCCAGCCCCACGGCCTCCAGGCGCAGCCGCGAGCTCGTGCCATTGCCCCCCGGCACCAGGGGCTCCCCGTCCTTCAGCCAGCTCAGCACCGGTGCTGGAGAGCCGGTGGCATCGCAGGTGAAGGTCACCTCGGCACCCGCCATCACCACCTGCTCCTCACTGCTCTCCGGGGTCACCTCCAGCACGGGGGGCACTAGGGAGGGAGCAGCATGGGTCAGGGGATGGGAAAGCAAAGCTAGATCCTCTCCTGAGGATGCTTGCAGGAGACTTGGAATCCCCAGGAGCAGTTCAACCTCCTCTAGAGGGTGACCGGCTATGAGAAGAGGGACTTGTCACCATCTGAGCTCCCTTCTTCCTCTCCTTTTGAGCTACACCGTACAAAAGACCACCCCAAGGTCCAGAACACACATGGGGCTGCACTCTGCAAGGAGCACCAACCCCACAACCACATGCAGACGTGGCCACCCACCACCCTGCTCTGCTCGCCTTGGCAGACCCCAAAATCCAGGCTCCCCCGTACCTTGGATGTGCAGGACGAAGCTGCGGTTGGCCACTCCAGCTTCATTGGCAGCCACGCAGGTGTAGAGTCCAGCATCAGCCACCTGCACCGGGGAGATCCTGCACCACAGGAGAGGAGGAAGAGGAGTCGTCGCCAGCCCCAGGCATCCCCCCTGCTCCTAGCAGCATGGCAGGGCATGGAGACCTCCCCCGGATCCACACACAGCGACGAGCTCCCTGCTTACCGGAGCGTGCGCCCGGCTGAGAGCAGGCGCACGCGGGCCGAGAGGCCGAGGGGCAGCCCGTCCTTGAGCCAGCTCAGCTGCAGGGGCCCGGTGCCCCGCGCCCGGCACTCCAGTGTCACCAGCATGCCCAGGACGCCGTAGAGCAGCTCCTCTGTGCCGCCGCTCTCGATGGATGGGGGAACTGGAGGAAGAAAAGGGAGGGAAGGGGCTGGAGAGGGGCAGGGGC